TCCCTTTTTATTTTTTTATTTTTTAAAATAATGTCATAACTCATAACCTAAAGATAAGCTCAAAAAAAGAATTACATGTATTAAAATTTAAAATTTAAATTTATTAACTATTATCTCTTAAAAATAATTATATGAATAATTATATTAAACTCCAAAAACTTTTTATATATCTCATTCCTCAATCAGTCAATCTTACCCTTTCATGAGAAGAGTCGATGGTTCGAGACATGGGAAGAGTTGACAGTTCGAGATATGAGAAGAGCTTGGTTTGAGACATGGGAAGAAGTAAGCTTAGAGGAGCTCGATTCAAGAGAAGAGTTCGAGTTTAAGTTTTGAAGATTGAGGATTGGTTTGTATGAAGCGTGAAGACACAAGAGAAGAGAAGATGATTGTAAGACTTCCATTGCAGGTGGAGCCAAGCATGTCTAGCATGAAGACAGATGATTGATGGAATTTGAGTCAAGGTGGAGATTGTTGGGAATATTGACTCAAATCCCATAAGAGATTTGTTTGAGATTTGTTTGAGATTTGTCAGATATTGCTTGATGGACAAGAAGACTTGCAAAAGAAGAATTCCAAGAGAAAGAGGATTCTTAATAGGTAAGTTTGACTTGTAAGAGAAGAATTCTAAAAGGAAAGGAATTCTTAATAGGTAAGTTTGACTTACAAGAGAAGAATTCTAAGAGGAGAGGGATTCTTAACACTAAAAACAAAATCCAACAATAATTGAAAAGAAAGTTCGCATGATCTCATCCCGATAACCTTCTCCTTCCTTGCTTTTGTCTCCCACTTTCTCTACCCCCATGGCTTCTTCTCCTTTTTCCATACAAAAGCTTAATTGGGATAAAAGGATAACATAGATAGTCCGAAGAATAACTATTTCAAAAGCAAGGTAACCGAAACAATAATTTAATGCATAAAGGACGTTATCGTGAAGGGCTAAAGTTTGTATCTATATTTATAATTGATTACAATTTTTTCGAACTCTATAACATTTTCCGTTGAAAAAAAAAATTTCCTCCTTAAACTAATTTTGAAAGTCAAATAACAAAATTTATAGCTACATGGGAGTCCTCACAATCTCTGTTCCACTATCAAGGCAGTAAAACAAAATTTATCGGCGATATAAAAGAATTAGAAAATGGACCCACTTTCTCTGCGCCGTTGGTACCGATATTCTTTTTTTTTTTTAATAATTTTTTATTGAATTTTAAATATATTCAATTAGTGATAGAATTGATAACTCAAATTTTCAATTTAAGATAGTGCTTCCAGAAAACTTAATTGAAAATAAGTCTCAACGCATTAGCTTTTAATCAAAGTGAAAATCATATTTCAATTGATTTGTATTTGTTAGGAAAAAAATAAATAAGAGAATAAAAATAATAGAAAAAAATTTTGGTTTTAAGAAATGAATGAATAGATATAAATTTCTATTAAAATAGTTATAACATTTTATTTTATGAAAAATAAGTTAGTTATATTCAAAACATTTTTTAAAAACAATTATACTTTTAGGATATAACAAGATCTTAAAACTTTTCAAGCAAAAGTAATAAAAATAATTATACTGAAATATATATTTATAATAAATGAACAAACATAAATTTTTATTCAAATAATCATGACATTTTGTATAACCATGACTTTTATGAATAATAGTTTATTTATATTCAAATAATTATGATAATTTGTTATATAATAATTATTTCTGTTCAAACATAATTATTTAAAATATGAATAAAATTAATATAAAAATTAATTTTATTCATTAATAATTAAATTTTTCTTTCCAATGCCAATGTGATATGCACCATATTCTAAACTATCAACAATCCTTCACACTAGTTTGAAATGTTGGTGTTTAATTTTAACTTTTCACACAAATAAATATTATGAATATAAAAAAATATATTTCAATTAAACATTTAATTAACGTATATATATATATATATTAAAATTCTAACAAAGTTGATGTTGTTTACAGATTATACCTCAATTCTTAGTATTAGAATTAAAGATATAACACATATAATGCTTATTTATTCTTCTATCAGATGTTTATAACTATTTTAGCACTATTATAGAATGTGTTTATCCTATTCATAACTATTTATAAGAGAAACCCTAATACTTATTGTTGAAACGGTATAATTTATATATTTATATAGGTAGAGTTTCTATTATATCTCCATCTTTAAACATTTAAAACTCAATTAAAAGTATAAAAACTCATCTTCCCTATGTAATTGATCACACTAATTGTTAAAATTTGAATGGATTTTATTATTACTTAACAGACACATAATAATAATTTGTTTTTACCCATTAAAGTTTGTAATTAAAGGTTATTAATTCAAAGTTGGATTTTTATTATTGGTGTCAATAGTAAAGTTTAAATTCATTCTATTTATAGTAATACTAACTAAATATCTTGGAATTCATTTTTTTTATGATAATTACCTCCACTTAAGATTGAATATCTAATATAATCACTTCAGACTAATAAGTCTAAATATTTCATTTTACATATCATTTATCTGCTTTAGACATTGTTGCCTCATTCTTATCATTTTAAGAAATAGTTGGTATTAGTTATAGCCACAACTCTACACTTATTAATTTCAACTATTTTATTTGCATACTTTTATATATCTTTAATACAATTATACTTTTAGTGTAACTGGATAAAATCAATGAATAAACAAAACCATTTTAATCTTTTTAAGATATTTAAAGACCTTTTCTGATTTTACTTTAATAAGTTGTACTAAACTTATTAACTTGTATAATTTCTCATAAAATTTTACTAAAATCTTACAATACTATGGTAGCAATTTTTATTTCTTTTGATTCTTATCACCCTCACCATGTGCAATTTTGCATTCTTTTATTTAAGAATATCTCATTCAATTATCAAGATATCATATATACTTAATTAAGTTACCATTTCATTTGTCTTTTCACTATTTTGTGGTTTTTTATTTCTTTTTAAGTAGGAGGCCTTAAAATCCACCCTTAGTGAAAGATTATTAGCAAATATTCTATATCACAATATTTCTTTTCATAAAAGTTTCAAAACTTTTATTTCAACTCAATACGAGAGTATGCATCAATAAGTATAATACCAAATATAATTACTCTCAAAACTAGTAAACTCATGCTTTCTATAATCTTTTTTTGAGACTTTCATTCCAATTCTTAGATACTTAAAAATTATTTGATCATAGACACTAAAGCCATATCCACCATGATTCATGTCATTAAAAACAATCAAAATTTCATGTATAATCACACAATACTATAAAATACATGAAAATTTTTCACCTAACAAATAGAAAGCATTTTAACTAGTTACAAGGAATTATGTAGCTTTTCCAATTGAATTTAAGTTATCTTAGATAATATGTTTATTTCTTGTCAAAATAATATTATATATATATATATATCAAATAATATGAATCATGCATTATTCTCTTGTCAATAAAATACAATCATGGACTATGGATCATAAAATATGATTTTATAATAAGAACATATATACTTGTTTCTTTTTCAAAAAACTTTATAAATTCATAATTTTTTTTGCCTTAAAATAATTCTCGAAAATGTATCATTTTAATTTTATATCCATGGTCTTATCAAAATGTGACAAAGCTATAAAAGATTTATAACCAAAGTTAGCAAGGACTCCATGTCCATTTTATGCTCATTATTCAATGCCATGATCAAGAAAGTCTACATAAAACATACCACAAAATCATGAATCATAATTAAATACTCTAATTTAAAATTAAAAAATTAAAAGAATAGTTAATAAAGAATTAAAAGTCAATGAGACTCAAGGTCTCCAATGAACTATTAATTATCAATTCTTTTAGTAGAATATAAAAACTAGAAAGATGATAACAAGAAACTTATATTGTATTTTATTTCACCAAAAAACTATTTGGATGATTGAAGCTTTTCATACTTGTTTCAAAAGTCGATTTTGCCAACTTTTCAAATTTCTTTTCCTTGTATCTTTTTCATGCGAAATAAGGATTTCATAATTGCCTTTAAATTGTTAGGAAAAACAAATAAGAGAAGAAAAATAATAAAAAATAATTTTGGCTTTGAGATATGAAAAACATTTTTTTAAAGGCAACTATACCTTTAGAATATAATAAAACTTCAAAACTCTCCAACTAGTGAAAGATTTATTTATAATAAATGAACAGACATAAATTTCTATTCAAATGATTATGATTTTTTATATAATTATGACTTTTATGAACAATAATCTATTTATATTCAAATAATTATGACCATTTGTTATATAATAATTATTTCTATTTAAACATAATTATTTAAAGTATAAATAAAAGTATTACAAATATTAATTTTATTCATCAATAATTAAATCTTTCTATTTAATATGGGATGCACCATATTCTAAACTACCAATAGTATTACCTCATAGTAATGATGTAAGTAAATAAAATGTCTAATAGTGAATTAAACAAACAATTTTGAAAACATAAAAATAATGAATATTCAAAAAAGAAATTAACCAAAAATCTTCAATTCTTATGCAAATTAATGAATGATAACAATTATTAAAAGTTATATTTGTTTCGGCCCAACCTAAAATAATCTAATGTAAACCCAACATACTAATAAATAAATTTTACAATTGTAAGACTTTTGAAATGAGAAAAGTGACCAAAAGCTCATTACTCAAAATTTAACCAAAAACCCATTTACACCATTTTAATAACCTACTCACTTAGCTATTCACTTAGTATCTAATTATCTCAGATTACTAAACTAAAACTAAATCATCTTATTTATAAAGGTGAAATCCTTTATAACTTTACTAAACTCTCAATGTAGGATTCAAGACAAACTCTTAAATCTTATAATTTTACTCAACTTTCGATGTGGGATTGAAAGATTTAAAACAAACCCCAACAAATCCTCTATTAATTTAAATATCTAAATATTTTAACAGTATTTACAAAGCTGACACGCTTGATCTTTTTCTTTTTCTTTGTCGCAAGAATCCTAACAATTGAGCTTCCATCAAGCATGTATAAGTGATTTTTTACCATATTCCTTTGTAGAATCATAGTACCATTTTTGTACACTTTGCACCAATTATTTCGTCCATAATATGTATACCCATGAGAAGCTAACTCACCCAAAATAATCAAATTGTAGCTACAACTCGGTACATACCTTACATGACAAAGCGTTATAACAACACAATTGTGAGATTTAAGGTGAACACTCCCAATCCCTTGAATTTGCATCTTTTCATCGTTGGCAACCATAATATCCACATATTTCTTATTCTCTTTCAACCCCACAAAGCAACTTTTATCATTGTGTACATGGACTGTAACAACTAAATCTAAAATTCAATATTTATCACCTTTCAAAATTTGAGTTTCATCCACACAATTCATCAAAATGACATCATCATCAGACACAAAGGTTTCAACAGTAACTGCAAGAATGATTTTCTTTCAAAGGCACAATTATAAATCATAAATAGAAAATAAAATTGGGTAAGGTAATTGACCTTTGACTTTCTCATATTATATTAGATTAGAGCAGTGAGATTGATTTCAATGTAATTTAAAATAATGACAATGATAAAATTAATTATTATAATGATAATATTAAAATTAGTGATAGAATGTGCGTTTTGATGCAAACATAATAATGTAAAGTGTGGTTAAAAAAATAATCATTATAGATATTAAATTTAAATTTACAATATATATTTAATATTTATGAAATTAATAAATAATTAAAATTAATTAAAGTATTTATTTATTATATAATACTTCCATAAATAAATATTTGTAAATAATAAAATTTAAAAATTACTATATTGACGTTGATTATTTATATGGAGAATAATAAAGAATCGACCTTCGGAATAAAATTCAAGTCTGCCCGAAGGCATAAGGAATGTTTGGTTATTGGTTAAGGTTGTTGAATGCCTCACTTTTTTTCAAGGACAATCAACTATCCAGTGGAGGACAGTCAGCTTCCTATGCGAAAAACTGAAAAAAAAAAAAAAAATGCCTCGATTGTCCACTGGAGGGTTCCTTTTCTAGTGGACAAACAACGTCTGCCACAATGGTAATGAACTTACCATGCCGGTAAAGTTCTCTTTTTTTTTTTTTTTTTGGTGAAGATTAAGAAACATTTTGTATTGGAATTAAAATTTTAAATTTATAATAAAATTGGTGAATCTGGGTTTAAAATGAAAAATTAAAAAAGAAATATCATCAAAAATAAATTTGGAATTTTTTTTTATGAAAGGAATTTAGATTAATGTAAAAGAAAGAGATATTAGATGTAAAAAAAAAATTATGATTTTGATATATTCAAAGAAAGGAAAGACGTAAAAATGAGACTGAAGAAGAAATTAAAACTGGACTTCATCAAACAAGAAAACCAAACAAAAAGACGGTAGCTTCATCCTAGCGATTTAAAGGTTTATACATCATCCGTGTAGTACTAAATAAACTAAAGAGGAACTTCTTAAGACCTAGAGATGTCCCTACGTGGAAATTCAAATCTAATAAACTAAATAGTAATATATTACTAAATCAAAATGTTGATAGCTCAAAATTAGACCACTTCATGTTCCTCTTGAAATGCTTGTTAAAAGACATCTCAAGATCAGTGATTGATTATTATGTTTCTCAATTAACCATGCTTGTGATGCAAAACATTTGTCCCTCCCATATTTACCCCTTATCGCCTTTTCCTTTTTCTTTTGGCTTTTACCTTCTTCAAGCTAATCCATTGGAAAATTTCTCCTCAAACATTCTCTCTCGTGCCTTGGTTGCCTGCAATTTCCATAGGAAAATTTCACTCAGCTGAACAGTATAAAGATATTTGATTAGGCACAAAAAGCAACATTCCAATTAGAAAAGTTAATTTTCTTTTTTTTTTTTTTTGTACAAAAGAAGTCTTGGGATAAGAGAAGGAATTAGCATGAACTATCTCCGGGTTCAAAAACGTAATTTTCTTTTCTTCCAAACATTCCAATTGCGACCACAAGAAAATAGAATTGACATAAAAAGAGTGAGAATGCACATAAAGGAGAGTGTTTATCATAGAAACCTGTTTTTGCCAATTCGTGAAGCTAGTAACTAGAGCTAGCAGAAGTAATTGTAAAGAGGATCCTGTCAATATTCCAATCCAGAGTCCCTGTCCCCTAAAATGTAGAACAAAACACAACAGAGCAGCAACTGGAATTCCAACAAGGTAGTATGCCCCAAGGTTCACATAGGCCCCAATGTGCTGCCACCCGGTTCCTCTGGCAACACCTGACGCGCGCAAGAAACTGGAATTGTATCTCAATTCATCCCAAAATGACACAAACAAGAAACATTATAAAGCATCATCGATCATATGAGTGCACATAGTTTCGGGTATGACAGGGAACTAATCAATCATATTAATGCATTAAGTTTTCTAACAAGGTAGGAGACTAACCAGAAAGAACTGCAAGTAAACTGTCGACAATGACGGATAGAGAAATTAGGGGAATCATTTGTCCAACATAATCAATAACGTCCTTTTCGTTACTGTATACATATCCAAAAACATAGCGGCAGCTGAAGAGAGTAATGCTCACAATCATTGCCTCCGAAACTCCTAGTACCATTACCACATTGACAGCTACTCGAGCTGCCTGTGGTTTTCCTGCCCCTAGTTCATTTGAAACTCGAGTGCTGCAAAAAGACGTTTGCACATATGTTTTAATGCACATGAAGTTCATGTACTTCTGAACAAAATAATCTTTATCAATAACATACAGGATCCAATAGGTATTACTCTTACCTTACGGCAGCACCAACTCCATACGGTATGAAGTAGTGTAATGATGTGGTTGAAAGGCTTCTCATCAGAAAATTTAGGAGAAATCGTTAAAATTCTTATGAAAAGTAATCAAGGTAAAATTTTGAAACACAAAATTAGTGATATAGAAGCATACCATATAGAAAGAACTGATGTTTCGAGTTCTGAATTCGGTAAAAGTCCAGATAGAAGTACAAGAAGCTCAAATGACCACCATTCAAGACTAATCATGGTATTGAAAAGAAAAATATGTTAGTTTTAAAAAAAATTATAGAAAACAATAAACTAAGAAATCAAAGACAACTTTGATAATATAAAGAAAAAGTGTAAAGTTACCAAATCATTACAGCAGAAGGGAGTGCAAAGCTTAAGAACTCCTTGATGCTTATGAAAATGTCCTTCAGGATAAGGATCCGAGTCGACTCACAACTAGAAGAGCATCTCATGTACAACCCCAGCAAGATCACATTAAACCACAACGCAACTATGATTGCTAGTGCTGCCCCTATATAACCCAAATTTATTTTATGCACTAGAGCCCAACAGAGAGGTACATGGAGACATATAGTTCCACAAGAACTCAAAAACAATGGAAGAATTTGGCCCTGGGACTGAAAGTAGCGAACCAATGACTGAAGAACAGCGTCAGCAAACAATGCAGGGATCAGCCAGATAGAGTATATGCTTGCTACCTCTGAAATTTGAGGGTCTTGACCCATCAATGTTAATAGTTTGTCCATAAATATCCAGAGGAGGGACACTGGAAAGCAAATTGTGAGGAGAGATAGTATTGAACAGTATGTGTAGCTTCCAAGCTTTTGATATTTCTTTGCTCCATAAGCTTGACCACCTAGAGTTTCCAATGCACCAGCCAATCCAAACTGCTTGGAATGAAAATATAGTGTTAGCCATACACAATTGAAGGACAAATCGAGGGCATTATTTCATGATTTACATCTATAGAAAGTATCTTCCTTCTTGTTTATATGCTTAATTAGATACATGATTTGTTTCCAATGATCATCAAATAAACTAGAAAACATTTTTCTGTAACAGATTCAAATACCTGATAGTTTAATTCAACTTTAATTTGTTTATTTATTTCTTTCTTGAATATACTATTTGATTAGTTGATTGTGATTCTAATTTTTACCTAATTCCCAACATAATTTGAGAAGAAAACTTGGCCTTTATCCATAATAAATATGTTAAGATCTCATGGCTCTGATTCCAGTTGTTAGATAAAAAGTCTTAATAATTAAACAATCAAGTGAATGGAAGTATAATCAAATAATCAATCAACCATACAAGAAATAACAATTAAATGTGTTTTAGTCCAACCGGTCTATGTTCGTAGAGGAAAAAAAAAATTTATTAGTTGTAAAGAATTACAAACCTATAGAGTATTCTCAATAAATACCCACTCACAATTAATATTCATGGCCTCTGTAAAGAATTACAAACCTGTTGAGTATTCTCAATTAATACTCACTCACAATTAATACTCATTGCCTCTTTCATTCTGCTTTAATCTTATGGAGTATTCTTAACTCAAACAATCACGTATCTATATACACTCATGACTATGTAAACCATTTCAATCTCACACCTGTAAGCATCTCCTAAATCTCCTCTAATCCTATGGGTTGTCCACCTAATAAAACTTTATAATTCTCTTAAATTTTTTTCTCATATCTAACTCTACGAATTCTTCACTATTTATAAGTATACAAATTTATCTATCAAAAATCACTTTTCACTTAGAATTCTTCTCTTACAAGTTTTTTAATCCATCAAGTAATATGTAGTTAATTTCAAACAAATACCCTATAGTATTTAAGTCACTATTACTAACAATTTTCACATTAACTCAAATTCCATCAAATCATCAATTTTTAAGATAGCTCTGATTCCAGTTGTTGCGCTAAAAAACTCTAACACAATTGAACAATCATGTTAGCAAAAGCATAATCAAATAATTAATCAATCGCACAAGAGATAGAAATTTAATATTGTTCAGCTCAACTAACCTTCATTCATGAATAAAAAAAATTAACTAGTTGTAGAGTATTATAAACATGCAAATCATCAACACTCAATCCCAAACAATACTCATGACCTTCTCATTCTCCTTTAATGCTATGGAGTATTTTCAATTCAAACAAACACATCCATATTTGCATCCATGTCTATGTGTATCATATCAATCTTCTCTACTCCACCCAAACAAACATAACAATCATCATACTTATGTGAACCCTCACAATTTCCTTTAATTTCAGACAAACATTCAAGAGTACACATTCATAAGAACCCTCGTAATCCCCTCTAATCTTATGGGATCTCTATCCAATGAAACCCTATAACTCTTTTATATCTTTCTTTCATAACTAATCTTATAAAGACTACATTATTTATAACTATAGTAACTTGTCTATTTAGGAGCTCTTCCCACCTAGAATTCTTCTCTTACAAATTTTCTTATCCTTCAAATAATATCTAACCAATTTCAAAAAAATCTAAAACTTATATCTTTTAGCATTTGCTTTTTTTTTTTTAATTCTTTTCTAGGCGTATCCTAACTAGGGGTGTAATCGATTGAGTTCGAGCCGATACAATACTAAGCTCGAGCTCAAGTTCGACTCTCAATTTGAAGCTTAAAAATTGGCTTGAACTCAATCGAATTTTATTTTTTTAGCTTGAATTCGATTTAAGATAGAAATCGAACTACTCGAACTCACTTAATTAGGCTCGATTAATATGTAAAAATAAGCTCGATTATTATATTCGATAAAAGTTCGATTACTTATGCTCAAATTTAAATTCAAGTTCGAGATATTTTATCAATTAATATATATTAAAATATAAAAGTTCGATTAAGCTCGTGAACAACTCAAATCGAATATAAGAATGCTGAAATTTAACTTGATTGATAAGTCAAACTACTCGAGTTTGAGTTCGACTCGATAATAACCGAGTCAAATTCAAGTTTTATTCGAATCAAACTCGAGAAACTTGTAAGTAGTAATATATCATTTTACACTCTTAATCTTAGCTTATGAAACAATTTTATTTGCTAAAACTCAACGGTATTTTAGACTTTAATTTCCTTTTTTAAAAAGAAAAGTCTAAAAGCCCAAGATTTCTTATTGCCAAAGGCATACATGGAGAGATTTTTTTTCCTAACGAAACCTCTTGCAATCCCCTTGAATCTTTGACTATTATTAAGGATTAACAAATACAAGGCATCCCCAGGCTGGCAATATGAGTCATTTTATTCATGTAAGCTGACAATTTGCTGTAGATGTATAAGATTGCTTACAGGAAAAAAAATAGATAAAAAAAAGGAGTGGGTATTAAAACAAGGTTCAAACTCCAAGCTTCAAAAAGTTTTTAAAAAAAATGTTCATTTTCTTCCAATATTTCTACAGGCATTGTTTAGTACATGGCAAATATGAAAAAAAAAAAAAAAAGAATATTGAAGAAAGAGAAAATAAAATCAGAAGAAGAAAATGAACTTCGTTATTTTGTTTGCTGATAAAATGAGAAAAATTGGGAGAAACATTTTTTAAAAAACTAAAACTTCAAATCCATCGACTCCAAAAAATATTGCTTATTTCATCTATGGATAATGTCATATTCCACACTTGTGTTATATACGCTTTTTCCTAATGTGATCCTTTTACTTTAAAAATGTCCAATATAGTACATGTATTGTCATTGTGTATGCCAATATGGTATCCGGGATTAATACCGTTAAACAATCTTGATGATGTGGCAACCAACCAATGAGGCGATGACACGTGGTATTTTATTGCCATGTCAATGTTCCATGTCTACTGAAATGTCATATGAGTTGCACATGTTGCATCAACATGGAGCATACATGTCAATGGCGTGACAGTCATGTAAATGATCCCTGTCATTTTTAAATAAAAAATAATTTTTATTTTTTAAAAATAACAAAATTTTGAAAAAAATCTATTTTTCTTCTCTCCTCTCCTCTCTTTCCTTTTTCTCTCTTGATCCCCTCTCCATTTTTCCAATCGGATTGGGCACCAATATGTAAGAAAAAAGGGGAGGAGGGGATCAAGAGAGAGAAAGAAAGAGAGGAGCGAAAAAAAAAAAAGAAAGAAAAAGGAAATTTTCTAAGAATATTTGTTTTTTTAATAAATTTTTATTTTTCAAAAATATTATTTAGAATTTTTATTGTTTAAATTTTCAAAAAATAAAAATTTAAAATTATGAGAAATGAAAGAAAAATTCTAAAAGTTTTTAAAGCTTTAAAAATAAAAGTTATTTTATAAAATATATACCTTTATTTTTCAAAATATAAATCTTAATTTTAAAAGTTTTTCGCTTTTAAAGATTTCTTTTTATTTTTTGAAATAATATATATATTTTTTATATTTTTTAGAAATTAATAACATATGGCAGGCTTGTTAATGCAAAATGTACTCCACGTAGAAATCATACGTACAAATCATCAATTATCATGTTTATGCCACGTGTTATCATTTGATATGGTCAACTATTAAATCAACGTCTCTGCTTAACTGTATTAATCTCAAGCACTACGTTGACACATGTTTTAATAATACAGTTATCGCATTTGATCTTTTTAAAATACAAGTATGACATTGAAAATGTTGGTATAATATAGAAGCCAAACATTACATTAACCCTTTCATCAAAATAAAATAGGAAGGCTTTAGTTTCTTGCTTTGCCAAATGATCCCTCGCTTGAAACTGTCTTTAATTTTTGAGCTCTTTTAGCTTCTTATCAGTGTCGTTTTTTCTTTCTAATTTTTTAATAAAGCAGGACGCTGAAAAAAAAATTCTTTTCAATTAATGCAAATGCCTAAAAAAGAATATACAAACCTAAAGATATTATTAGTTAATGCTCAATTATTTCATGTTCAAATTATGTTTGGAAACAATGGAACCAGCACACACGATTATCTTGGATCTATTTACAGAGTTCTAGAATAAAAAAGAAAAATATGTTAAAATAAATATAACTTATATGGTAGATGTAAAATTTATTAAATTTTAGTGTTTTTCTTAAAAATATAATCAATAAATACTGACTAAATGAAGATTGATAATCATTTTCTATAAACTTGACCATCAAGCTATTAGTTTAGCATTGCTGATGCAGTTAAAAAAAATTAAATTAAAAAATTTTGTTTAAAAAGTTTGATAAGAATTGCTATGGAAACGCAAAACTATTTTCATCAGCATTGCTAAACTAGATCTTACTAATGCAAGTTAAGCATAACAATTAAATTACTTTTAAATATTTGTTCAATGATAAATTTATTTTCCTATTTTTTTATATATTTGTTATATATCACTGAAACTCAAGCTAAAAGAAGACATAACAATTGACGCACACACCCTAAGAAAAAGAAATAATCTGAAAAAATTTAACAAAAAATTATTTTTCTGAATTTTTACTTCTAAAAAACCTAAAAATTTTCAGAAAAAAAAAAAAAAAGAAAAACTCAAAAGTTGAATTTATAATATAAATATTATTTTGTATACTATTGAAAATTAAATATTGAGTATCAAATATTCTTAAAAAAGATATGATTTTATAAATATTTAATATTGATAAAATTAAAAGGAAGTAATAAATGGTTAAAATTAAAAAAATATATAATTTTATCGTAACTGAATAAGAAATTTTTCATTAAATATTTTTTAACTACTTAAGATTTTCAAAAAATTTTCATTGAAAATCTTTCTTCATGTGATTTCTAAAATTACTTCTTTTGCCAGAACATATTGTAACACGAAACGAAAAACCTTAATTTTTGTTTAATTCATGTAATATTTGTTTATATAATATGTTGTTATCAAAAAATTATTTATTATTGTAATATTAATTTTTGTAAGCAGCTGTATATATATATATATATATATCACCTTTTTCTTGTTTAAAAAATAATTATATTGAGTGTATTAGTAATTTTCTGATTTGATAAAAAGAATAGTGCAAATAATACTAATAAATATTTTCTAAACTAGCACAGCAATAAGCACTCACAAAGAAAACTGAAGAGAGAGAAGAATAAGCATTACAAGTAAACTGAAGCCAGTGACATTAGTGAAGGAGGTGGCAATGGCAACCCCAGAAAGAGCAAGTTCACCAATGTAACCCACCATCATCAACGATATCACCTGCAAAAGATACTCCGACACCGACACCGCTACCATCGGCGCCGCCATGTAACTCACCTTCTTCAGCTCCTTGACAAAGGTAGTACTCCATTTGTTTTCCCATGTTCTCTGATCTTCTCCCTCGGCCACCTGCAGCAGTGCCTTATCCATTTTTCCCACTTCTCTTGAACAAATCTGTTCGCAGTTATTTGTTTCCTTTGGGGGAATTATTACAGTAGTGCACATGCATGTCACGATGAGATTACATCGATCTTCGTGGTAATAAATAAATCACGTGCAGTTTGCAGTCACACAGTTTGATGGTGACCTTTTTATAATGCACCTGTCTTGGCGTGAGTGGGTGAGAAATTCGAGTGAACCATGTAGTGGTGGGTTCCAAATGTTGCGAAAAATCTAGAGGTTTTCAAGTTTTTTTATTAAAAATTATTAAATAAAATTAAAATTAAAATAGATAAATTAAAAAGTTTTGTTATTCACAGGAATATAATCAAGATTTATGATTAGTGGAAATAAATATTTTAACTTGGTTTAAAAAATTTTCATTAAAGTATAAGTTAATTTTAAAAATTAAAAATAAAATAGTATATATAATATTTTTTATAAATAAAAAAAATGTTTTGCAACATAAATTAGGTCGAATCGAATCAAATCATGTCGAACCGTTAAGTCATCCAGATCGAACCGAGCTTCAGACCAAACTAGATCCAGCAATGATTGAACTGTTGATCGGTCTTATTTAGGTAAAAAAAAATTTTTTATGAATTTTTATAATATTTATGTTTATTAAGATAATTATATTTATTAGATTAACTGATGAAATATGTAATTAAAATTTTTATAATTTTGTTAAATTTTAAAAAAACAAACTTTAAAAAATAAAAAAAAAAACTTAATAATAATACAAATTCATAAAGAAATGTAAAAAAAGAAATTTTTATCCGACGATAAGATTCTAAGGTACTTTGAGTAATGATGCCTATGAAATCTCTAAGTGAGAATTTTTTTTTTAAATACTATCAATGTATTGAAGTATTTATAAAAATTTTTCAATACAATAAAAATTCTCTTTTCTCTAATAATAAAAATTAAAAAATAAATTAAGAATAAATAATAAATAATGAGAAAAAAATTTATCCAATGATGGGATTTTAAAAGTATTTTAAGTAAAAATGCTTTAAAAATTTCTAGGTGAGAAAATTTTTTAAATATTATCAGTGTGTTAGAATATTTATAGAAAACCTTCAATATAATAAAATTTTCATTTTCTTCAAAGTTTTAAATGAAAAAAATTAATAAAAATTCATAATATTTCTAAAGAGTGAAGATAAAATGTGTGCATTAATATGTTAGCATTTGCATTACATGACATAATTTTTATGAAAAGTAAATTTGAACATTCGAAGATGATATTTTAAGGTATTCTAAAAAGCGATGCTTAAGAAATCTCTAGGTGAAATTTTTTTTTTTTAATATTACCAACGTACTGGCACATTTTAAAAATTATTTTAATAAAAGTATTTTAATTTATTTTTCTTGAATTAAACTTGAATAATAAATATTAAATAAAATTAAAGGAAAAACAAAAAATGCAATGAATAAAAAATAAATCAAGGAATTTTTTTTAAACACCGAAAATAAGATTATTTTTTATCAAAATCAAAGAATAATAAATAGTTAATTGGTATCATTTTCAAATAGGTGTTATGGGGGTGCTAATCATTCTCCACACGTAATTGATTCTCGAACTCAGACTGTTAGCAGATCCTAAACTTATTCTTTTAATAAATTTTAATTAATTTTAAAATTTTATTAAAATGATATGATTTAATAAATAATCAATCGCATTTAATTAAAAAAAATTGATAACGATTCTTTTATTTTTTATTTTATTTTCAAATTCATCGAATGACTTCAAAACTGTTACGATACTAAATAAATAATGAAAATTTTAATGTGTAAACCTTAATTTAGTGGGGGCAAAAATGACTGGCAAAGATTTTTTATAAAAACAAAACTTTAAATTTTCAAAACTTTTTAAATTTTTATAATAAACCTAGAAGAATTTTACGAAGTCAGTGGAGGCAACTGCCCCCATATAGTTCTACGTAGTTCCGACCTTGTTATATAAATTAATTATGAAAAATGTTAGAAAATAAATTTTGATATATTTTTAAGTAAAAATTTTAATAAAAATTTTAATAAATTTTTTGTCATTAAATAAATATAAATTAAATTTAAATTTATTAATGATATTTTTAATAATTTTTTACATTCAGTTATAGATCTTCATAATTGAATTCGAACGATTGGGCGGAATTCAGAGCTCCTTTACAAACTCTTTTCCAGACGTACGGATTTGTTCGGAATAATTACAAAATAAGACAAATGAGCAAGAAAATTTAGTATTGCACCAATACAAAAATATTAATTAAAAAGGATTTGAAAGCTCCAGTCATGAACTCTCTTTTGAAAACTCTAGCTCTCACCAGCATAGATCTAACTATTTAAAGGCTAAAACGAGAACAGCGCTAATATTTGAAGTAAAGATGGCTAAATTTATAATAAATTTAATTATTTAGTTATTTTTCATTTTAAAAAAGATATCCGTTTTAAAAATTTATTTTACATTAATGCGCTTTTGTATTTATCTACTTACATTAATATAATTTTTTCATTTTTTAAATTTAATAATTTTGATTTAAAAAACAAAAAAATAAAATATATTAATGTAAAAATTCCTCTTCTTTATATATAGTTAATAAATAAATTTTTTATTTAATAATATAAAATTTTATTTTAAATTAATTGGATATAATATATATTTATTTTAAAATATGTAAATTTAAAAAATTGTATAAATATAGAAATTAAAAATTAAAAATTATTTTTTATTTATATTTTTCTTAAAAAATTTTGTTAACAAATTTAATGCTACTGCCTAATAAAATACCAAAGTGAAGTATTTATGAATTCCAATATCTGTGAACTTTGAACACGGTTTCGATTCTTAATTTATTTCTATTCCAACTTTTTGTCCTTTTCCAACTATGTCTGGTCTACTTCAACAATTCATGCACATGTTAAATAAGTTTTTATTGTCATTGATTTTGTTTGATTCTATCCCCAACAACATTATTTTGGTTGGTAGGCAAAACTTATCTGATCAATAACATATGTGGGGCTTGATTTTCGGTGGATATCGACAACTACAACCCAAATACAATTAATCGAATTTTCTTCATCCTGTCAGACTCTGTCAGGATATGCATCTAATTCAAAAAGCTTATGAAAATTCTTAATAATTTGACTGCAATTTCCTTAAAAGGCGAGCCACCAACCAGGACTGATCTAAATGCCACCTGTGATATATATTTCTTTAAGTTAGAATAATAGGATTTAAATTTTAAATTAATTTTTTCCATTGATGCTTAATATAGGTGGTTACTTCAAAAAAAAAAAAAAAAAGATATGACAATCTTATTTATATTCAATAGAAATTTTAATTTTTTATTTTAATAAAGATAAAGATAAATATTACATTGTAAATATAGAATAAGAATAAGTATAATTTTAAATATTTATTAAGTATGGGATAAAAATGGGTAATAAAACATTTATTTTATATCTATACCTTATATATTTATATATATTTAGTATATAGATTTTTATTAAATAATATAAATTATTATTTTAGATTAATTAAAATTAATTTAATTTATCAAAAATATAAATTAATATATATTTATAAAAAATTATCTAAATATATAAGATAAAAATAAAACTAAAACTAAAAAAAAAATTTAGTTTTTGTTTTTTTAAAAAAGTTATAAGTATAGAGATTATTTATACCTATTAAATACTTGTAAGTATGAAAATATGAATAAATTTAAAATATTTATTAAATATAGATACAAAAATAAATATAAAATAAAAATTCAGAGAAAAGGATAGATAATGCTCTATCTTGTTCATATCATGCCATTGATATCTTTACTTAAAAATTATTATAATTTGAGACAAATTGTAAAAAATGTTATCTCATGTTAGCATATGTTATTTTTATTTAAATTATATTACATAATTATGTTATTAAAAAAAGTCAGTTGTTTATTACACATCACATGTAATAATTAAATAATAGATATTTATTTTAATAGATTAGTTAATTATTTTATAATAAATAATTAAAATTTTTCAAATAATATGATTATGTGATATGATTTGAAAAAAACAACATATGATAACATGACAACTATTTCAATTCATACTCTTTCTCTAAAATCACCGGACACTTTCTTTTTCTCTAAATGTTCCTCTTCAATAACAAATTCATCAACCAATACTCAAATATCATAATCTAATAAACCCCACCGTCATTGTTACTTTACCACTGTATGTTGACACCGACGCACCAAAAAACTTGTGAAATACAGCAGAAGGAACTGCAAGGTGAAAAAATTCCTTGATACTAAAGAAAACATCCTTAAGGAATAGAACTCGGGTTTTCTCACATGATGATGAGTGTCACATGTAAAATCCAAGCAAGACCACATTGAACCAATAAGACAAGCCAATGGCTAACGCTGCTCCTTTAAAGCCTAGTTTTGATTTAAATACCAAAATCCAACAAAGAGGTATGTGGAAGCACAGAGTTGCCCATGAGACTAGTAGAATTGGAACAATCAGGCTCCGAGGATGGAAATAACGAACTTGTGATTGAAGAATTGCATAGGCAAATAGTGCAGGAATGAGCCATATGGCTAACTGCGAGTCACCATTGAAATTTGAGTGTCTAGGCCTATTAGTACTAACAACTTGTCCATGAATATCCAGAGGAGGCATATTGGGAGACAAATTGGAAGGACACAGATCATTGAACAGTATGTATAGCTTCCAATCTTTTGGTAGTTCATTGCTTCATTTGTTTGCCCGCATAGAGTTCCCAAGGCACCCGCAAATCCTGACTGTATAGCATTTAAAATTTGTGTAAACCATCATACATTTGTTGCAAAATCTCTTTTAATTATTACTAATAGCTAAATAGATCAGGTAATAGAAGTGAAACAAGAGTTGCCAACAGTCATGTTTATTGGTAGAGTGTTGGATTCTTAATTTCAATAATCAAAATTCAAATCCTGAGAACTTTAAAT